CCCCCATCTCATCCCATCCCACCCTGTCCCCGTCTCTGCCCGTTGGGATTTCCCTCCCACCCCAACTCCCGCATCCCCCCTCAGTGGTCAACAAGTTACAGGCAGTGTTGCCCACCCCCCCCCCCCAGCCCGCCCCCAGACGTCGAACGCCCCCTCTCAGTTCAATTCCTGGGCAAAACCCGAAATACCCTGTCCGCGCCCGGCAGCTCTACTCAGTCCTGGGGGCGACTAGCGGGGGGCCAGCATCCGTCTCCTCCCCCCCTCACCGGGCTTTGGGAAACCGCCCCCCCACACACACCCCTTCCCTGTCCCCTCCCTCGGGCAGGTGCTCCCTGCCTGCGCTGGGGGGTTCTGGGCAGGAGGGGGTTAAGGAGCTGTGCATGATAACAGCCCTTTTGTCATTGAATGAGGGGAAGGAAAAGGCTGCCTGCCTGGGAGATAATCAGTCACTTTCAGCACCGGGAAGCGAAGGGAAGGGAAGGGAAGGGAGCTCCCAGCGGCTGGAGCCCAGGGCAGTGGGGGGACGGGGCGCGGAGGGAAAGCGGGCGCGGGCAGACTCGGAATTCCGGCCATGGTCCCGGGGCGACCCGCCGGGATCTAGGGGGCTGGAGCAGGGGAGCCGGGGGGCTGCACCTTGGGGGGCAGTGATGCGCCAGTGACGCCATGCGGTGGGCGCTGGTGGTGCTGTGCGGGGTCCTGTGCCAGCTGGGCAGGTCGCGGGGCCAAGTGGCCAACCTGACGCTGGCCGTGCTGCTGCCGAAGCAAAACATGACCTACCCGTGGGCCTGGCCCCGCGTGGGCCCTGCCATCTGGCTGGCCATCGACCGGATCAACCGGCAGCCGGACCTGCTGCCGGGCCACACGGTGCGCTGGGTGTTCGGGAACAGCGAGGACAAGCACGGCGTCTGCTCCGACCAGGACGCCCCCGTGGCCGCCGTGGACCTCAAGCTGACCGACAACCCCGACGCCTTCATCGGCCCCGGCTGCGTCTACAGCTCAGCGCCCGTGGCCCGCCTGACCAGCCACTGGAAGCTGCCGCTGGTGACAGCCGGGGCCGAGGCCCACGGCTTCGACAACAAGGACATGTTCTCCCTGACCACGCGGGCCGGGCCCAGCCACCGCAAGCTGGGTGAGTACGCCGTGGGGCTGCAGCGCCACTTCAACTGGACCCACCGCGCCATGCTGGTCTACTCGGACGAGAAGATGGACGACCGGCCCTGCTTCTTCGCCATCGAAGGGCTGTACATGCAGCTGCCCACCGTCCGCAACCTCACCGTGAGTTACATCTCCTTCGAGGACCAAGACAAGGCCAACTACACCTCCCTAATCCAGGAGATCAAGCAGAAGGGCAGAAGTAAGTGACCCTCCCACCCCACCTTGGTACGGCTGCTTCCAGGGACCCCCCTGCCCCATGGTGCCACAAGCCCCCTATGCAACATCTCCCTATTGCAGCCTCCTCCCTCTCCGCAGCCCTGCCTGCCACTTCAGTGCAACTTTGCCCCCCTGCTCTGCGGCACAACTTCCCCCCCTCCCAGTGCAGCCACCCCAGGGTTCACCTCCCCCAGCCCAACCCCAGGCTGCCCCAGTACAGCCTTCCCACCACGGCACCCCCGGCAACACCCCCGCATGGCACTCGTCTTCAACCGAACAATGCAAGGGGCCCCGGTGCCGCCCCACCTCCTTAATGCACCCCCCCCCCGTGGAAACGCTGCCCCCCTTCTCCCAGCCCCCCACGTGGAACAGATCCAGCCCTTTGATTCCCAGCGGGTCGGGGGGAAAGTTTTCTCCGAGTTGCTTTGTGTTAACTTTGTGGTGTGCTGCCGCTCCAGCCAGCCCAGCGCAGGCTCGGTTTCCCTGGCTCCCTGCACACAGAGTGGGGGAGCTGAGCGGTGTTGGGGATGGCTCTGAATTGGAAAAGGCAAGGAGCTTGCTGGGATGGGGGTGACGGGTGAAATGTACACCCCTCCCCCGGGCAGTGAGAGAGGGGAGCTTGGACAAGTCGTGTCGGGGGCCCCTCCAAGCCCAAGTCTAGAGCCAACGGGAGTCCGGCTGCAGGGAGATGGGGTGCGTTTGGTCTGGCCCTGGTTTGGGGAATTCTGCTTGGGGGTTTGAATCTGGCCCCAGCCGAAGCCACTCGAGGTGCAATCCACCCGTCAGGTCCCATCTAATCCCCCAACAGTCCGGTCCCCAGTGGTCTGTGCCAGCGGCAGGGGGCTGGCTCCCTGTGGGAGATGTTAGGTGGGACAATCGCCTGCCGGAGCCGTTACCCAGCCGCTGCAGAGTGCAGGGCAGCTCGCTAGTTCGGGGCCCAGTGCACAGCCCCGGGGCGATCCCGTGGGGCCGGTTTCATTCCAAACTCTCGGTCTCCACGAACGCCCCAGCCTGGCCACCAGAAGGCAGGTGGGCGCTTTGCAAGTGGGCGCCAGCCTGCCGGGGTGCAGCGGGCAGAGCCCAGCCCGGGGCAGGGGCACCTGATGGGGAGACAAGCTCTGAACCCCCCAGCCCAGATGACACTTGTGCACCATGGCTCTCGGCTCTAAGGGCCTGATCCAAACCCTGCTACAGGAGGAGACTGTCCACGGACTTGGATCTGGCCCTGACAGCAGGGAACTGGGCCGGGGCCTTGGTTCAAACCTGCACGTTGGGGAGGTGCCCCACAGATGGGCAGTGAAAGTCTCCCCCCGCTCGCCTCCCACCATGTGTCCAGCCCGACCACGGAGCCCTGGGCTTGGGAACGTCTAACTGTCCCGCGGGCTCGGAGATGCACAGCAGGGACTCAGTGCTGCCTGCCCCGGGCGGGCGTGTGTCTCTGTGTGTGTGCGGGTGTGGAGACAGATTGAGTCGCAGGGCGCCTGGAAATCCGCTGGCCACGGAAAGACACGGAACTGGCCCCTTGACAGAGAATCTTCAGCTTTTACATTTAGTGAAAAAATAAAAACAGGCATCGTAGAACCCCGTTTAGGCGAGGCCCCCCTTATCCGGCGCTCCCTCGGGCAGCTCTCAGCTTCTTAAACAGGCTTCTAGTGGCTGTCACTAAAACCTCGTGTTCCGCGGATACCCGTGTATACTGCGGCCGGGGAAAGTGAGGGTCAGCGCTTCAGTTTAACCGTGGAAAAACATGGCTAGTTTTGTGTTTGTATTGGAGAATGTTGGTTTTTTTTATCACAGGCAACTAGGATCCCTGGTGATTAGGCAGCGTGCGTGGATGTGTGTGTGGTTGTGTACATGCGTGTGCGCATGCAGATGGATGGATTTGTGCGTGTGTTTTGGGGGGGCAGCTGGGGCAGGCTGATGGATCGTCTTCCTGCCCAGGGTTTATTGTACCCTCACTGGGTTTCTAACCCACCGAATCCTGGGCACCTGGCACTGAAAAATCGTAGACCCAACCTGCCCCGTGCTCCCTGACCCCATGGCCCATCCCACAGAGCCAGCTCCTGGCCCGGCTGGGACAAAAGGCAAGAGGCCTGGCCCTCTGGAAGTCATAGCTGCTATGGTAACGCCCGGCCTCATCCCGTGGCTGCTCCCAGAGGCCTGCCCGGCCCAGGGCTGACCACAGGGCCATGCTGCGGGGGAGCGCGGTACAGCAATGAGCTGCGTCAGCGCCTGCCCTGGCTTTGTGCCGACGTCATTCAGAGCAGGATCCGGCCCCCGAGGCTGGGAGCTCTGCAGGCCAGGGGCCGTCTCCGCGCTGCGTCCGTACAGCGCCTGGCGCAGTGGGGCCCGATCTGGGACCGGGCATCTCCGTGCTCCCCAAACACACCTAATGAGAGCCGGGGGTCCACAGGCGATCGCTCCAGCCCGGGTCAGAGCCAGGCAGGAATTCCTGCGTGTGGGGAGGGGAGTCGCTGCTCGGATAGCAGGCGATGGGGGGAGGGCTGGGGTAAGCAGAGACACCCCCGGGGGGCAATAGCCTGTTTATTCAGCCTCCCTGCCTCCGCCCAGCTGCCTGGCTCCTGTGGGGCCAGCCGGGAAGCCTGACCCTGGGTGACGGAGCAGCCTGTGACCCCCTCCCTTCCCCCACCATACCCAGGCGGGAGGTGTGGATCCCTGGAGGCATAAGGGGGGCAGGGAGTGGAGCGGAGTGACGCCCCCCCCAGCCCGTCTGACAGCCGGGCGCTCCAGCGCCATGGTGATGGGCTTCCCATGGAGACACCCAGCCCCCTGCTGCCCCCGAGCCCAGGGTCTCTGGCTGGCTGGGCCGCAGGCCCGGCTCCCCCATGTTTGCAGATGAAGCCGGGCGGCTGATTCGGATTCGCTCCCCCTAGGCTGGGGGTGGGGTCATCTTCGGGGCAGGCCCGGGGCTGAGGTCTGGGGTCGCTGCTTGGATTTACAGTTTGACGTGTGGGGAGCAGGAGGAGAACTCTGGGCTGAATGCTCCCTGTGATAGCTGGGAGGGGGAGCACCCCGTGGATAGGCTGGGCGTGGTGTGGGAGTCCCCGGGGGCAGGCTGGCTCCCAGGCGCTGTGGGGCTGGCCGTGGTGTGGGGGTCCCTGGGGACAGGCTGGCTACCAGGCGCTGTGGGGCTGGCCGTGGCGTGGGGGTCCCCGGGGGCAGGCTGGCTCCCAGGCACTGTGGGGCTGGGCGTGGTGTGAGGGTCCCCTGGGGCAGGCTGGCTCCCAGGGCACTGCCGAGTTCTGTCTGTCCCTGGTGTCTATTTCACGGCATTCGTTCTGTGTCTGCCTGGGTTTGTTTTGTCTCGGCTATTTCTGGGGCCTGGCATGCTCCCTGTCCGGCTTCGCGCTCCTTCCAGGGACCTTCCTCGGAGCCCATCGCTGCTGCTGGACTGGGCAAGGCGTGGCCCCACGGAGCAGCTCCTCGGCCGGGGGGTGCGTGGGGCGGCCCGGGGCTGCGACAGCGACAGGGCAGGAGGTCTGGGCTGCCTCTCCCACCTCTCTGCTTTCCCCCAGCAGGAGGCGGTGTCCTGAGCAGGGCACTCCCACTGGGCATCAGGGTGCAGGGCCCCCTTCCACACCCTGTCCTGCCCGCAGGCCCTCACCCCACCCTGGATGGACCCCCCCCCAGGGCCTGCCGGACTCTCCCCAGCTCTCCGAGCCGAGCTGGGCCCCTGCCCCCGGCCGGTCTCCTCTCCCGGCCCTGCTAAGGAGCCGGGGCCCACGGGGCAGGGCCGGGGCCAGGCGCTGGGCGAGCGCCTCGGATAAATCACGGCCTGAAGCCTGGGCTGGAGGGGAGGAGGCGCCGAGTCAGCACAACAGGAAGCCCCTGGGCTGGCGCCCTGGCTGCGGAGGGGCCGAGCGCTGACTCGGCCTGGCCAGGGCTCTGCTGACCGAACGCGCCCCATGACCCCGGCCGTGTTGGCTGACACGGCTGGGCCGGCAGCAGGGAAACAACAGGCCGGGCCACGCGCGGCCGGAAAATAACAGGATGTTCCCGGCCCGCTGAGGCCTAGAAGAGGGTGGTCTCCGACCCCTGGGCGCTGGGTTTTTTCGCGTCTCCTCCAGGGCGAGATCGCTGGTCGGCTTCCTGGCCCCGTGTCTCGAGCGGCCCCAGCCCGTCAGTGCCGGGCGCTCATTCCGGGATCGTCTCCGGGGCGGCCCCCGGGCTGGCTGTGCTGGGGACGCTCTGGCCTGCCGCTTGTGGCACTGCCGCCCCCGGGCACAGCGGGTGTAAGCAGGGCCGTGGCATTGCATGCCCGTGGGCACAGCTGCCCGCGGCTGGGGAGAGTCAGGCTCCCAGCTCCCGCTGGCCTCCGCCCTGCCCAGAGTGGTGGCTGTCCTGGTGGTGGCTGGGCTGGGCGGTTTGCCACCCTGGCTGCTGGCACCAGTGGGGGGGTTTCGGGTGAAGCAGCTGGCGTGGTGCCCCCCCATGTGCAGCCCACCTCTCCCTGGGCCTGCTATCGCCACGGGGACGAACACCAGCTGTTGCTAAATAGATCTGTCGTTGGGAAGGGCCGGCTGAGCAACAGGATGGGCTGTCTCTGTTCGCAGCCCTAGTGCTGGGGCTTTGCGTGGGGCCCCACCTCTCTGACCTGACAGCCGGGCAGCCGTGCCCCCCGCCTGGCCCAGGCGAGGGTTGTGCCCGCTGGGGGAGCAGGCAGGGGGCTGCTGCCCGCAGCTACAATTTTATAATCTACTTCGTCCTGCCAAGAGTGCAGGGGACTGGACTAGACGAGATCCCTTCCAGACCTGCGATTCCATCCTAGGGGGGCCCCCACCCGCCTTTCGAGGCAGGGAAGCGGAGTTTGTTTCACACACTCATTTGTGACCCTCCCAGTCGTCCTGGACGCGCCCCCTTCATGGTGGGGGGAGGCTGGGGCAAGTGCAGGGAAAGGGGCCTGCCCCCAAATCGCAGAGTGAGCTGGGGCTAGAACCCAGGAGTCCTGCCTCCCAGCCCTGCCCCTCCCCTGCTCTAACCACTAGACCCCTCTCCCCAGCCAGAGTCAGGGAGAGAACCCAGGCGTCCTGGTTCCCAGTCATTATATAGCACCCCCCGCCCTTCCCCTCAACCCTTTTGTGGTGTGTAGCTCTGGGCGCCTGGACTGCCAGGCCAAGCCCCCTCCCTCCGGCGCTGGCTGCGTCCTGGGGGCCTGGCACGGCCCTCCCTGGGCCCTTGTGAGGCAGGCTGGAGAACAGCTCGTTAAGCTCAGCTCCTCCAGATTTCACAACCTCGGCGTAGTGCGAAGGGCTCCCAGGGGAGGCGGCTCTGGCAGCTCGCGGCGGGGTGGGGCGGCGGGGGGTGGGGGCTTGTTGTCTTTCCAGCGCAGCATAGGAGGAATATGGAGAAAAGTGCAGGCAGAGCCCTGGGGCTTTGGCTTCCTGGCTGTGCCTGCCAAGGGCCTGGACCCCTGCTCTGGCATGGGCTAGCAGGAAGTCCTGGTGGCTCCTGGCTACTCCAGCCCTGGGCTCTTCCACAGGGGGCGGTGTTGGGCACAGGGCAGGAGGAGCGCTAGCCGGGGGGGGGAGGGTGTGTCCAGTGTGCGTGTGCACGAGTGTGTGTGTGTGTGTGTGTGCGGTCACACACCGGCCCCTGTGCCCGGCCATGCCCCACGGGGCGTCCCCGGCTCTCTGTTGTACCAGCCTGCCCGAGGGACTGCCGGGGCCAGGGCAGTGACCCATCCAGCCTGCCCCCTCCGGTCCAGCCGCTTCCCCTCTGGCGGCGGAGCAAGGGGGGAAGTGGGGAGCATTAGGGTCAGGGCAGGATCTCGGGGCACGTGGGGGTCCATGCATTGCTCCCTCGGCTCTGACCGCTCCGGAGCTAGAGAATCTGGGTCAGGGTCCCCTCAGCGTCCTTGGAGCCGCCAGCCTGGCCCAGGCTCCCCAGGACAGAGGAGCCCCCGGCGATACAGGGCACGTGTCCAGGGGCTGGTACCGCTAACCCCATCCTTGCCCCTTCAGTCGTGTACCTTTGCTGCCCCCCGGACACCTTCCGCCAGCTCATGCTACAGGCTCGGCGCGAGGGGCTCACGCAGGGGGACTTCGCCTTCTTCTACATCGACATCTTCGGGGCCAGCCTGCAGGGCTCCCGCTTCCCCGACCCCCAGAGGCCCTGGAGACGCGGGGACAAGGATGACGCCAACGCCAGGGAGGCCTTTAAGGTGAGGCGTGCCCAGGATGGTGCCCTCCAGCCAGGTACCTGGGGAGGCCAGGTACCAAGTGCAGAGCCTGGCCTGGCTCTTTGAGGAGAGGGCAGCACTGGCTGGGCCTGTTACAGGTCACTGCGCTGGCACCATGGGTTCAAAGAGGGTTGGGTAGTAACTACAGCAAGGGGCCGGGAGCCCGGATGCCTGGGTTCTATTCCGAACTCTGGCCTTCACTGGTATAAAGGTGCCGCGGGCAGGTTACAGGTTCCTGGGGAAGGGGCACTGGGCTGACAGGCTCAGTTTGCAGCTCTGGAGCCCTGGGTCTGAAACCTGCCAAATGCACTTGTGACATGAGTTTGCTGGGCCTCAGCCCAAATTGCCCCAGCCAGGCCCCTCTGTTGCCCTAGAGACGAGGAGACGTGGGGGCAGCTAGTGCCCCTCACCCTCCCTGCTTCTGGCCAGCCCCTGCCTGTTTGCTCTTTGCTGTCAGCAAATAACGAGGAGGGAGGAAGGAAGCGAGATAATTTCCCCAGGTCTGAGCACTGCCAGGGAAGGCTATTAATAGCCCGGGGGCGGAACACTGCCCCCAACCTCCCCAGGGAGCCCAGGCCTGGAGGGTCCGAGGGAGCCTGGAAGCAAGATGGGGCGGAGGAAGGGGCCAGACTGGCAGACCTGGAGGCTTCTGCCCACTGCCTAGGGGAGCCGGGCAGTGGCGGGGGGAGTCCCTGGGAGGTGCCAGATCACCAGCCAGCCCAGCCACCCTCCCGCGGGGAGTCCTGGCAGCTGCCCACCCATGGGGCTGCAGGCGCCATGTGGGAAACCCAGGCCCACCACCTCCCCCAGGCCTCCGGTCTCAGCCTCTCTCCCCTCTTCCCCCCTCCCCCCAGGCAGTGATGATCATCACCTGCAAGGAGCCCGAGAACCCCGAGTACCAGCCCTTCCTGGAGCAGCTCAAGCAGGGGGCCCGCACCCACTTCAACTTCACCCTGCAGGACGGTCTGGTAAGGCCCCCCCGCACCGGCCGCCCCTCCTTGGCCAGAGACAGCAGGGCCAGTCAGCAGCCCAGTAAGGAACCAGGGGGGGGGGGGGCCCAGAGACTCGCCCGCAGTCTGTGCATGGGGTAGCACCCCTCTGTCCTGGGGCAGCATGGGCACCCCAGCTCTTCCTCCCTGCCCCCCACCCAGCCCATGGCACCACCCCAGCGGTTCTGAGCCGGCCCATCCCTTTCAGATGAACTACATCGCGGCGGCCTTCCACGACGGGCTGCTGCTGTATGCCCGGGCCGTGAACGAGACCCTCCAGCAGGGCGGCACCGTCCGGAACGCCAGCGCCATCACCCGCCACATGTGGAACCGCACCTTCTACGGTGAGCGCCCCCCCAGCCGTACGGACGCTGGAGTCTCCAGTGGCTGCCCCTGGGGCAGAGACCCCTTTGTGCTGCCCCTAGGGAACGGCTGGGGGAGAAGGGAGGCCCTGGGGGGACTTGGCCTGTGATTCCCGGCAGGGCCAGCAGGGGCGCCACTCCCATGGTGCCGGCCACGGAGCCAGGTGCCAGCCGCCTCCCTGCCCTGCCCTGCCCAGCGCTGCCAGACGGATCCTTTCCCCGAGCCTCTCGTTCCTCCTCTCCGGAAATTCCAGGGCTGGGATCGTTAGCGGCTCGGGGCGTGAGCTGGGCCGGGAGCCGCTGGGCCGGGCTACTCGGCGGGAGATGGATGGGCTGTGGAGTGATGGAGCCGCTCCCCTCGCAGCCCTACGCCCACGCTGGGGACCCCGCCAGAAAGCATCCCGAATGCCCTGGCCAGGCTCCACGTGGCTCCGCTCCCCCTTCTGGTGGGGCCCCTCCGCCATGGGGCGGAGGGGACACTGGGCTGCCAGAGGCTCTGTCAGACGAGCCCCAGCCCAGGGGCCTGCGCTCTTTGGAGTCAGCCCCCGGCCCCTTTCTAACACAGGGAGGGGGTGAAATTCCCCAGCAGTTCCAGCGGCGTGCAGGTTTCTCCTCCGCTTTTTAGCCAGTACTGTGTGGTGTTGCTGTGCACTGCTGCGCTCCACCCCAGAGGCAGCTGCATCTCGGCACTGGGCGAGGGATCCCTGTATAACCAGCCTCTGCGCCCCACCCCAGAGGGGCTGCATCTCAGAGCCATATGGTCCCCCCCGATATCCCCTTCTCCACTTGTAGCCTCAAAGCCTGACTTTTCAGGCCCTTCTGCCCTTTGACCCCGGGTGCTGCCCTGTGAGGGGGCTGGTCCTGCGGTCTCTCACCCCCCCTTCCCCGCAGGAGTCACCGGCTTCCTGAAGATTGATGAGAACGGAGACCGGGAGAGCGACTATTCACTGTGGGATATGGACCCCATGTCGGGCACGTTCCAGGTCAGTGGGTGTCTCAGCCCAGCCTCCCAGCTCTGTCCTCTGCAGCTACCCCCGAGGCTGGACTGGGACGGCTCCGAGCCGAACCCAGGGCCCCGTTACCTGTGCGTTATAGCTGGCGGGGGGAGGGGGTGATGGCAGCCTGGGACCCTGGGGTGTTCCTGCTGCTGGCCCCCTCCCAGAGCCCCCCTCTCTCGCCCTCTGCAGATTGTCTACAGCTACAATGGCACCACCAAGAAGATGAGTGCGGTGCCCGGGCGTGAGATCCACTGGCCAGGGAAAGGCGTGCCCAGGGACGTCCCGCCCTGCGGCTTCGACAACAGCAACCCCCTGTGCCGCAAAGGTGGGGCCAGCGTCCCAGACCCCGCCCCCGCCCCCGGGCTTTGCAGAGCAAGTTCTGAGGGTTTCATTCCCTTGCCCAGGCCCATGGTGCTGCTCCAGGCAGTCCTCGCCCCTGGAGCGCCGCCAGCATAAATACCTTCCCGCAGGCAGAATCCAGCCTCCCCCGGCGGGGAAGGGCTGCGCTGGGCCGGCCCCATGAAAACAAGCCCCTTCAGGCAGCCCAACCATGCAGCTCCATCCCTCCCCCCTTCAGCGGGCTTTGCACCCCATACGGGGGTGTGGGGAGCTGCCCCCTTCCCGGGAGCTCGGCCTGGGCTCCTCACCCGCAAAGCCACAAGGGGGGACAAGTCTCCTTGGTGTTTCTCTGCACCTGGTACCCTGTGCTCCCAGAACAGGCCCAGTGACTGGGCAAGCTCCCCTCATCCTGCTTTGGGCTTTGCTGCCTAGTGGGTGTTGCCATGGGAACTTCCCTGGCTGAGACCCCCCCCAGCACAGACCAGCACATACAGCCCCTGGGCTGGATTCGAACTCAGGACTCTGAGCCAGCCACTCCCCACCATCGCCCTCCTGCCTTGTTTTGCAGCCAGTTTAACCACCCTGGAGATCCTCTCCGTCACGGTGAGCCTCATCCTGCTGATTATCACCGTCACCTCCTTCTTCATCTACAGGTGCGGGGAGGGGCCCTGCACCCCCAGGGCTGGGCCGGGGAGGGGGCTACGTCTGGCTGACCTTGGCCAGGATGCAGGGACGGGGATATGGGGCGGGGGGCTCTACTGCAAAGGCGGGGGGAGGGGCAGGGGGTCAAAGTGGTGCTGGAGAAATGCTCCTGCTTTACGGGAGGCGACAGCAGGGGGTGGAGGTGGGATTGGGCCCGGGAGGGGGTTTGGGCAGCACCTGGCCCAAGGGGGTGGTTGGCCATGGCTCGGGCAGGTGCCATACAGATAACTAGCAGCGTGGGGGGCACTGGGAGCCGGGCTGGCGCTTGATGCCCTCTCACCCCCTCCCACCCCCCCGGCGCAGGAAGCTGAATCTGGAGAAGGAGCTGGCGGCCGAGCTGTGGCGTGTGCGCTGGGAGGACGTCCAGTCCAGCAGCCTGGAGAAACACCTGCGCAGCACCGGGAGCAAACTGACCCTGTCCCTGGTGAGCCCCCCGGGGCTCGGCGACCTGGCGGAGGAGGGTGTGGTGTCTGGCTGGGACCCCGGGCCGAGCAGCCCCCCCGAGGGACCCCCTCTCCAGCTGGCACTGGGCGAAGGCAGCCGGGCCAGGGCCCCTGGTTACAGCTATGGATCCAGGGAGGTTAATTCAAAGCAAATCCAATCAGGGAGCCCTGAGCAGCTGCTGAGCCCGGCCAGGGGTTGGAGGGAGCCACGGGAGGTGTGGGGGGCAGAGGGGGGCTGGGGGCGCCCAGGCTCCAGCTGGCTTTGAAGTGGTGATAGGGAGGGGTCCCCCACGGCCTGCTGGGGCCCCCTCCAGCCATTGCCCTCCCACCGAGCCCTGCAGCAGGAGTGGGGGGGGGTGAGAGATGGGAGGGAGGGTTCCCCGAGGGCTGTGAGGGGGGGTGCCCCAGAAACCCTGGGCATGTCGGCGCTGCCCGCTGTCCTCCCTCACACCGGCGCTTGCTTCCGCACAGAGAGGCTCCAACTACGGCTCCCTGCTGACCACGGAGGGGCAGTTCCAGGTCTATGCCAAGACGGCCTATTACAAGGTGGGTGCGGGGATCCCGCCTGAGCGCACAGGGGAGCAGCCAGGAGCTGCGGGGAGCGGGGTGGGGTCAGTGGGGGGCGCTGTGGGGGGCGAGGCGGGGGGGGGTCAGTAGGGGGCGCTGCGGGGGCAGGGTGGGGTCAGTAGGGGGCGCTTTCTCCTGACCATCAGTGTCCATAAATGTTAAACAACTGCCCGGGGGGGGTACAGGACCTACCCCCCCATCTGAGCTCCCCCCAATCCCTTTCTCCAGGGGAACATCGTGGCGGTGAAGCACATCAATCGGAAGAGAATCGAGCTGACGCGGAAGGTGCTGTTTGAGCTGAAACACGTAGGTACCCGGCCAGCGCTCGGGCAGGTGGCTGGGCTGAGGGGCTCGGTGCGGCCGGGTGTTTCTGTTCGGCTCCGCGGGGGCTGCCCGGCTCGCACGGCTGAGGATCCAGGCAGTGCTGGCAAAGGGGCCACGTTACACCACTGCCCACGTGCACTACGGGGCCCCCCCTCGGAGCACCCGCGAGCAGGAGGCTGGGCTGGGCTCTCTTCCCTTCCGCCTTCCCCCCCCTGCACAGAGCCCAGCTTGGGGGGGACCCGGACTCGGCTCCCGGATTCTCTGGATGGGAGGGGGTTGGTGGGACCCCTCCCTGCCCTGGGGCCCAGCTCCCCACTCCCCTGCAGCGGCTATTCACTGCCAGAATGTGGTGTGTTGTGTGGGGGGGGGGGGTCTGCCCCCCCCCCCCCCAGCATCCCCATTGCTAACGATGCTCCTGCCTCTCGTTAGTGCCTGGGCCTGTGCGCCTGTGTTCGGAGAGGAGAAAAATACTGACCCCGCCCCCCCGCCCCCCAGCCTCATGCCAAGAGCCTCTTGGCAGCCCCAGGCCTGGGCTGCAGGCACCACGCCCGGAGCGGGGCCTCTGGGCACGAGTCCCACCCCCACCCCGGGGGCCGCGCGGGGGAGGAAGGGGGGAGCGAGAGCGGGGGCGAAGGGCAGTGCGGGAGAGACCTCGCCGGGAGCCGCTAGTGCCCTTTGCTCTAGCCCCAGCCTGCCCTGAGCGAGCCGAGCGCCCGGCCTTGCCCTGGCTCCCTCCTGGGAGCCCAGCCCGGAGCCTTCCCTGGCCGTGCACACACGTGTGCGGATTCACACGTGTACAGAGTCACGCGCACACACTGAATTCCCAGGCTCTGACTGGCCCCTCCCGTTAGACCTGGCAGCCTGCTGCCTCCCGCGGGCGCCCAGTGGGCGGGGCAGGTCTCTGGCGCTTGCGGCTGCCCCCCAGACCCATGGGGCCAGCCCAAGGCACTGGGAGAGCCCCCTCCAGCCTCTCGGCGCGGGTTAATCAGTCCCTAGCGGAGGATCTGGGGCGGGAGGGGTCAGCGCAGTGTCCCTGCAGGGTAGCCACCGCCCCTGGAGAAGGCGTGTCCTGCCCCCCTGCTCTGGGCCCCGCTCCCCTCCGTGTGTGGGGGGCTCTCCCAAGCCGCCCTGCCTCGGAGCCCCCACGGGCCGGGAGAGCTGTTAAGGCCTGTACCCCCCTCCACCGCCACACCCCTTGGCACTGGCCATGCTGGAGGTTCTTAATGGGGGTGGCTGGGCGCAGACAGACCCTGTGGTTCCCCCCCGGCTTCCAGGGAGAGGCCGACTCCCTGTTGTCCTGCCTCTTGCACCCCCATTGACACCAGGGTGCAGGGGGGTGAAGCTGCTGTAAGTGGCTGCGCGAGGAGTAGGGGGCCCAAGGCAAGGCCTTGGGGGGGGGGCAGCTGGAGCTGGGAGGGGCCTGGGGGCTCGCGCTGAGGCTTGAGCCGCTTGCATCCAATTATGGAATGGATCCATCCGCCCAGCCTGCGCAAGGCAGCTGCGAAGCTGTGCTGGGCACCAGGGTGTGGAGCAGCCGCCGCAGACCTGAGGGGGCTAAAGGCAACGTGCCACTTTCACAGGCTGCGGGTCCACGTGTGGGACTCACTGCTGCAGGACACCTGGTGAGCGGGGACTGACCCAGCTCAGCTTCCGGCTGCCTGCCGGCTCGCCCGGGGAGGTGTGAATCAGCAGGACCGGCCCCCACAGGGACACGGCTCTGTGGGAGGTGTGTCTGCGCCAGTGCAAAGCCCTAGTGTAGACGTGCGGCAGCACTGTGAGGCGTGTAGCGTCTCTGCACTAGGGGATGGCGTCGGTGCAGAGAGGAGCCAGGGCATGTGGACCCCGCCACTAGCAGCATCGAGGCCCCGGCGTCAGGACAGATTGACCCGGCGCTGCGAGGTGCGCTGGGCGAGTACCGGGGCGGGGGCAATTCTCAGCTGCTGCCTGAGGCAAAATGCCCCCCCCGCCACCTGTCAGCCCAGCAGGGCCTGGCCACTTGGCCCAGCCAGTGGGCGGGAGACAGGGCTGGACAGGCCACAGGACTCTGCTGGATGGCAGCCACTCCTAGGGCTCCCCCCACCACCCCAGTAAACTCCTCGGGCTCCTGGGGGCACCAGCAGAGGCGGCGGCGCACACTTGGGCACTTTCTGCGCCGTGTGCCGAGGGGAGGGACCCGCTCCCTGGCAGGCAGGCGGGGCTGGCTCCGGTTATCGGCAGGGGCTCTGCCACGCCAGGCTAATTACTCATTAGCAAGGAAGCAGCAGGGAAGCCACTGTCCTTTCCTTGCTAATTAGAAATCAGCCTGAGCCAAGGGGCAGCACTGGGAGGAGGGGGCGCTTCCTGGATCCCTGGTTGCCATATGGGGCACTTGCCGGGCCCTACGTGGGGACAGTATCCTCCCCACTTCCCAGGTGGGGAAACTGAGGCACAGGGTGGTTAAGGCCTGACTTTTGCTGGGGGTTGAGGCTGGTTACCAGCACTCCACTTCAGGCGCCTGGAGTCCGGCTCCCCTCCCTCCCCCCACTCAGGCCCATGGGAGCTGCTGGGCGTTACGAAAGCTGGTCCCTGGGCCTGGGCACCGGGTGCTCCTGTTGACATCAGCTGGAGCCGTGGGTGCTTGGCGCCAGCGAGTAGCGAGGTGCCCCTCCCCCACGCAGCCCAGCCTTGGCACCGCAGCTGGGGGCCTGGGGCCGGGCAGGGCAGGGCTGGCAGAGTCTGCAGCCGGATGGGACGTCACTGGCTGGACAAGCGCTGCCCGAGTGCAGGGCAAGGCCTGGCCCCTCAGGGCTCCGGCCAGCTCGGGGACCCAGCAGGCCAGGCCAGGAGCTGGGGTAAACGAGCCCTAGGCCTTCTGTGCGGGCCGGTCTCCCCCAGCGCAGGCTCCTGCACCGGGCGGGGGCTGCCCGTCCCTCTCAGGCTGGGCGGGGATGCCAAGGACACCGGCCGGGCCTCAGGGCGCTCTGACGATAGAGCCCATCAGCCGCGTGACCCATCTGGCCGCCCCACCTCGGAAAGGGGGCGAATGGGGCGTGGGGCAGCGCTCTGGCCTGGGGCGGCGACGTGATCACAACGCTTCCCCCCGGCCTCGGAACCGGGATCTCTGCTGCTTTCTCGGCTGGGCTGCGGGAGGCTGCGGGAGCTCCAGCGACCCCTGTGCGGCCCCAGAGCCACGACCGCAGCTTATGGGCCCTGTTCCCTTTCGGTCCCGGCTCCGGGGGAGACGCCGCCGACCATGGCGACACGGCCGTGGGGCGGGGAGAGCTCCTGGGTTAGAGCCGCCCCAATCCATGGGGCGTGCAGCCTAGTGCGGCGCGTGGGGTGAATTCCTGCGGCGCCTCGCCGAGCCGGGACGTTCCCTCTGCCCCCACGCATGGAGGGAGGTTTTAGCACATCGGGTCTTTTTAAATGTCTGGGCTGGCCGGGGACCCTCTGTCCCTGCGCCAGCTGTGGGGAAAACATGCAGGGGTTGAGCCAGCGGGAGGGGTGGGGAGGTGACAGGCCAAGAGGAAACTGGCCACATGTTCCACTATCCCCGTGTCCTGTGCACGGGGATTGGTGCACACGCAGGGCCTGGCTTGCAGGGTGCTGCGCTGCATCTCCTGACATCTGGCTGCAGCTGGAGATGCGGGGGGGGGGAGGCGTTGCATTGGGTCATTCCTCTGCTTTTGGGACTGGAATTCAGCACAAGAAGTTGGGGCTGCTGATCATGGAGCGACCTTGGACCCTCCCCC